CACATGAACTTGAGTGCTACAAAGCCTAAAAGGAAAATACAATACACAAGCCAAGGGGTACATACGGGAAGAGGTGATGAGAATACAGTCTGTTCAAGAAGAGAGAAGGTAGAAGTCAATTGAGGGGAAGAAGAGGAAAGAAGAGAAAACGTAAGAAGGACGGAAGTGAGGGTAGCTGTGCTGGGCATTGCTTGTTCAGTAGCCCGTCCTTCCAGCCTGCTCCCACTGCCCCTCCTCTTTCCTCTTCTAAGGGGTTCTGTTTCCTGTACCCCGGAGGACTTCAGCAGGGGCGTTTAATGTGGCAGTTTACAGAGCTCAGTCCATATTCTCTCGAACAGAACATGAAGTTCCTGAAACAGTCCAAGCTGGCAAGGATGGGCGTATTCCACAGGGCTCACACGGCCAGCACTTTGATCCTCCCTGAGACAAGCCCCAGGGCTATTCAGGCCCTTGCTGGGATGTGCTGGGGACCTTGACGATGTGGCTGAGTTAATCTCTTACTTAAAGCATACCTAAGAGGAAGGAAGAGAGCCAGTATTTGGAAACCAGCCACATATACAGAGGACCTAGTTCCAACTACTTAGCTCCAGTTGCAGTCCAGTCCAAGTGGCAAATGTACCAGTTTTTGTCCCCATGGGGAGAGCATGACAATGACTCCTTTCCCATCCCCATGCTTGTTTGATGTTATTTGCTTAATCTTATTTCTGCTAATTCATCAATATTAAAAATGATAGTTCACTGTTTTTACTTATACTACATTTAGTAGGAAGGAAAAGACTTCAAATGTTGATGACTATTTCTTCTGTGGCTAATTTTCTACTTGTATCCCTTGTTTATTTTTCTATGGGAATGCTCATTTTTGTGTTATTAAGCTAAATGACCTATTTATATATTAAAGATATCAACCATATATATTAGATTCTTTTCAGCTGAATACTTAGCACAGTACCCTGATCTACACATAATAATGACAGCTCTCATTTAATCTCCAAAATAATCTTGTGAGGTAAAATTTTTTCAGGAGCATTCCAGAATTATCTTTTTGTATAATTATGGGCTAGTTTGCTTTTTTTATCAAATAAAGATAAGTGATTAAAAATGTATACATATAGTAGATTATTGTACGTGGTTTTCAAATAGTTTAGCAGACTTTGTAAACATTAAGAATTTAAAAGTCACCTTATCCCAAACTTTCCAGTTATCTCATTGGAGGAATAAAAATGATCCATTTTGAGTGTGTGATATCTCTTTTGACTTCTCAACCACTTTTTTTGGCAACATGAATAGCTCTTACACTGTCCTTGGTTTGCTTCCAAATGTATTCTACGGAAAAGAATTTTCAGGATAAAAAGACTGCTTTGCAATTTAGGGAGCCTGTGAAGGAGGTGGACTCTTTGAATTGAACTGAATTATTTTGCTTCAGTACTATCCTCAAAAGCTCTGAATACAGAAGTGACAACCTTTCCTCTCCCTCATCAGCACTAGAATTAGAAAAAGCTTTTAGTTGATATAGTCAAGTGGCTCTTTAGAGCACAGAAGCAAATCTAATATACTTGTAAAAAAAAAATCCTACATGCTACCGTTCTGCCTCTCTGATCCCTACAACCCAAATTTCTGGGATTTTGGTCCAGCATTTTATACATAATAACAACTCCTAAAGTTATTAAATTTGTTAAGATAAGGCCAAAGTCATGGAACAAAATCTCAGAAAATAGTGGTTTTAAAATATGATGTTGATTTTTCTCTCATGTGACAGTTCCAAAATGAGCAGTCCAGGTTAGCAAAATAATTCTGCTGAACACATTTATTCAGGATCATGATTTCTTTCTGTTTTGCCATTGAGTTCACTCCTAGGAGGTTATCAACATCCACACAATTAAATTAGAGACACGCTTGTGTCCGTTTGGGGATTTAGCAGCGGAGAAGGAAAAAAACAGAGAGGAGGTCAGTCCAGTGTGGAAAGACCTGGACTTACAAGAGACCCTTATCACTTCTGAGCAGAGAGCCTAGGGAGGGAAGTTTTGTCAGGTGCCTGATTCCTCACTGCCCCTCTTGGCTCTGAGAAGAAGATGGTTGATCAGAGTAGGCAACCTGGAAACCCTGTTGCCGAGATCCTCGTGCACACCAAAGTCTAAGAACTCAGATCTAATCCAACATCCACACTGTGCAAACAAGCAGGTTAAATCCTAGAGAGGTTATATGAATTCTGGGGTGAGCCCCTCCCCAGGCTTTATGAGGATGCACCTGTGAGGTTGCCCAGGTTTTCCTCCTTTCAATGACATCTTGGGTGTGGAGGCCAGGCACTTGCTGTCACCTAAGGATTGTTGTTCAAACGAAATGTAATACTCTCTCTGTTGGCAAAAGAGAGGGAATGATTAGCAGCCATGAAAAAGTGCCTCTTTTATGCAAACAGCCCCTCTCAGCATCTGCGGTGCAACCCTCCCTATCAGCCCATTCTTAGCTTCCTTTCTCTGCCAAACTCTCAATTCCATGGCCTTTTAAATAATTGAATCTGTCACCATTGTCACCTCACTTCTTTCCCTCTCACGTTTTCTTTCAGCTTCAGGGGTGTAACACGTATCTACCTCTCAGTTATTTTTCTAACAAGTGCAATGGACTTTTGCGCCATTCTAGTCGGATGTGACACGTGCAACCAAATGGCTGAAATTCCTGATGAAAGGGAAGGGAGGGCACTGGGGCACCCTGCTGTCAGTGTAAGCACAAAGACAAAATAAGTTCTATGGATGGTGAGAAGAGCAGCCTCAAAACACAGAGACAAGGTAGGTGCTGAAGACGGGCTGGGCCAAAAGAGACTGAGGCATTCAGGACCTTAACATCCGCCTGAGGAACTTAGGTGTGACGCTGGAAGAAAAAACAAGGCCTCCCTAGCATGGAAGCAAAGCGGGGGACATTATGAAAACTTGATGTTTAAAAGCCTGAGATACTCTGTCTTGGCTCATGAGGGACTTTAGGATGCACCTGGATTTGACAGGCACCAAGAGTCAAAAATGGTGAAGACGGGCCCAGCCCGTCTTCAGCACCTACCCTGCCTCTGTGTTTTGAGGCTGCTCTTCTCACTAAGCCTTCATGGCACCTCCACATTCAACATCTCTCCGACCTCAGAGTGCGATGATGAGAGATCCTGGGAGGTCAGGGCCCTGGAAGGCAGAGCTCCTGATGATCCCTTCAGAGAAGTGGAAGCTTTGGTCTTAATTAAGCCTGAGAAAAGGATGCTCCCGGCCTAGGAATAGGTATATATTTTAGATTTTTGTTCCTTTCTTCTGTAAGGGAAGAAATCTGTGCTCAATTCTGAACTAGTTCGGGTGTATTTTTTCTTATGTATTACAAAAACTGTCCCAGAGATCAAATAGCCATTGTCTCTGGGGCTGACATTGTCCCTCAGCAGAGCCGACAGACCTGTAATAGAAAAGAAGTTACTCAGGTGTGAGCTAAATTTGGACCGAGACTGCTTAGACAGAGAGAGCTCCTGTGGGTGGAGCCCACTCCTGTCCGGGTGGTGAGTGGGCAGCGGCATCAGCAGCACTCCGCGGCGCCTCCTGGGGATGGAGCTCAGTGAGAGCATCTCCTTTCCTGTCCTGGTTCTTTTCCTTCCGAGAAAAGACCTTTGTGACCCAAGCGTTTCCCTGTGCGACTCTCTTCTCTGGCTGCCCAGTGCAAATTGAGTGCTAATTACATACCTGCTTGGCCTAACTCAGGGAGTGGCTTTTTCCTGGGGGAGGGGTACCGGCAATCGAACTCAGGACTTCGCGCTTGCCAGGCAGGCGCTGTGCCAGTGAGCTACATCCCCATCAACCTAGTGAATGTTTATTTCAGCGTCACCACACTAATAAGAAAAACCCAACTAAAAGGCAGAAACATGTTGTTGTAATGCTGCCTAGTGGCCACCAGAGTTTTGCGGTTCCGGTATAGTCAGAATTCTGTGTCAGGAGTGTCAAGAAAGCAGCGGGAAAGTCAACATATAAAGGGTTACAGTCAGCAAAAACGCGTTACAGCGACACAGCATTCATTTACACACATTTATTTAAAATTAAAATATGAAGAAGAATGATCTTAATGGAGGGAAATGTAAGGGGGAAACAGGAGCATACATATACACATCAGTGAATAAGATGAGCATTCATGCTTTATGCAGAGTCTTGAACTTTAACAATGTACAAATAAATAGCTGGTAATGAAAAAATTCACTACAGTGTCAGAAAACACCAAGACTGAGGATCATTCCTGCCTGGAACTTGGCATAGCCTTCCTATTCCCATCTTGCTACCTTCTGTATTTCTCCATGACGTGCTGTTTTTCTCCCATAGCCCTTTAGTAGCTTGAGTGAAAATTACAATAAAACTTTATGTCTCTTTACAGCCGCTTGTGAGATAGGGTGGAGAAATGGAAGTTGTGCAATAATGGAGCTACCAAGCCTAAGAGCAGCAGCTATCCCAAAGGCGTTTTTCCTCTGGTGTCTCCTAGAAGATGGACAACCCATGCCTGTGTGGTGCTCAGATTTTGTCCACACATCAATGCACACACTTCTTTGAAGAGCAGCAGTGATTAACAATGTCTACCACACTCCTTCACTGTTTTCTTGGATAGTCTCATTAGTGATATGATTCATTTTTAATTATCCCTATTGGTCTAGGGCTTCTCTCCGTAAGTGTCCTCTGTTGGGAGGACTCCATTTATAGCTGACATAGGATGGAATTCAGTTTTATTCAGAGGAAGTGTGTGTGTGTGTGTGTGTGTGTGTGTGAGACAGAGAGGCAGGAAGGAGGGAGGGGAAGGGAAGGGAAGGGACAGAAAAGGAAGGGAAAAGGGAGAGACAATGATATAATTCCAGAATCAGTTATAAATTTTAATTGAATAGTCCAGCATTCTGGATTTTTCACTCTTGCACTTATAAATACTTGAGTTTGCTATAGGTAATGTAGCTAACAGAAGGGAAGCAACATTATGAACGTGAACATAACTTTTTTTCATAGGCCCGGGGTTCACATCCTGTGGGGTTTACAGTTTAGAGTCAACCAGCTCATCAGAGAATGACCTGCCAGCACTGTCAATATCTTCTTTAATAAGGTGATGTTGTGGTGTGGGCACCTGGGGAACTGCTTGCCTGTGGTGAGCTGGCACGCAGAATTCTCCAGTTCTGGGCTCTCACAGCGCCGTATGCCACGGTTCTGTCCACACTTGCAGCTGGAGGCCTTGCTGACCCTGTGAATCACCTCAGTGGGGCCATGGATGAAGCTATTGCTCCATTTGCATGGCCCAATAGCTTCTGGAACTTTGCTCCAGGCCATCATGTCGCTGCAACACTCTTTGTCAGCAAGGGCACTGCTTCCTTCAGGGATGCTATAACACAATCTACATGTCAGTAGTGGAGAAGGCACAGCAGCCTTGGGCAAGCTGAGGCTGGCATTTTTGCCAAACAGAGTTAAGTTCATTAATACCTCATCAGTCTCCTTTCCTTGGTCACTTTTCGCTATCTTGGGTTGCATCTTTTCCCCTGCAAATTCTTCTTTAATTATCTCCATTATACTTTCTGAGGCTTCTGCAAGAATCAATCCTAGGCCAAGCAGCAGCAGAGAGAAGGTCTCCATCTCAATCTAGTGCAATCTCTACTACAGTAAAGATAAAACATAAAACAAAAAGGAGGAGAATGTTAAGAAGATAAGTTTTCTTTCCATTATGACCATTACTCCCAGGAGTGACCCCTAGATGAAAGACTTCTATATATACTGTAATAAAGGAAGTATAATACTGTGGAAAGCCAATCAGCTGTGGAGTTGGAAGACCTGGGTTCAAATCCTTGATTCTGCACTTACAATCACTCTACCTCATTTAACCTCAGTTTACCCATCTGAAAAAAACACTGTGATAGCTATGTAAGGTGATAAGTTTAAAGTACTGGAACACAGCATTATTCTCTTTTCCCTTCTTCATACTCTTACTGTTGGGGTCTATTATCTCCATAGTGTGTCACAGTCATTTCACCTAGCACATTCCTCATCTTTACTCTCTCCTGTATCCCCACAAAGTACCTGTTGCATGGGAGCCACTTAAAAACAAAACACACAGCCATTTCCCCCGCCTTGCTGCTTTCCCCATCTATTCTCAGTTTTGAGATTTCTGTCTTTACCGGTTCCTTTGATAAGTTGATCCCGCAGGCACAGATTCCAACTTGTTGCAGGGCTAGAAATGAAACTGTTTCTTGGGAGTTTTTCTGTTATTGGATCTGAGGGAAGGAGGGGCAAGAGCGGGGTAGAAAGAACTGTGTGAGATTGACAGAGGAGACAATGTGGAACCAAGGACACTCAGAGAAAACTGGACATAGCGTCCACTCGGCAGTCACAATCTCATGACCCAGGAAGTACCTCTGCCTCTTCTGTGAAATCTCCCCGATCTATTATACTCTAACACAAAGTGATCCTTTTTTCTTTTGTGACTCCTACAGCGCAGATTATGCTGTACGCTGTTTTGCATGATGCTTTGTATTATTCTAGCTAGCTGACATGTGTTAGCCTTCCCTTCCTTTTATTAAGGATGATGAAGCCTTGAGACCAGAACAGTTTCTGATTACTGTTATTCGGACGGCATCACACACTGAATTGTACACACACTTTTCTCAACAACATTTTTTAACAATGTGGCATGACTTGAGTAGCTAGAAAATCTTTTATTTGAGTCAATGCTGGGATGCTCATAATTAGAACTGCAGGAAACATGGCTTCTCAGGGTGGTGATTCCTTTACTCTAGAGACACTATTATCCCCTCTTATTGCTTTCTCACCTCTAAAAGCCTCCTCTCTTGTGCATATTCTCTCCTGTGTTATCATTCTTACTTTCCTTTTGAAAGCAGCTTTATTGAACTGTATTATATGCCACGAAACTAACCCATTTTAAATGTGCAATTCAAAACCAAATCACAGTTTTAGAACATTTTCCTTTCCTCAAAAAGGTCCCATGCACCTGTCCTGCGGTCACCCCCACTCCCACACTCGGCCCCGGGCACCCATCATTCTGCTTTCTGTCTTTTCTGGGTATTTCACTCAAATGGAAACATACAACTGATGATTTTTTACATCTGACTTCTTTCTTTGAACATGTTTTGAGCGGTATCCATGCTGTAGCCAGTATCTGTACTTTGAACCTTTTTAGAGAGGAATCCTATCCTACTTATGAATGAAGCACATTTTGGTTTTCATTCACCAGTTTATGGACACTTGGGTTATTTCCACTTTTTAAAATGTGTTTGTATTACTGAGTATTAATTTTATAAGATATTTGGCTTCAATATGGTATTTTTATGCATGCAGATGAAATGTTTTGATCATATATATTCCCCATTACCTTCTCTATACCCTCTTCCCTCTCCACATAATTTCTTTCCCTTTGTGTAATAATAGCATCCTTTATACTTTCTTATTGATTTATTTATTTATTGAGACAAGATCTCACCATGTAGCCCAGGCTGTCCTCGAACTCTCAGTGATCCTCTTGCCTCAGCCTCCCAAGTGTTGGGATTACAGACATGTTCAGTGACACCAAGCATCCTTTATACTTTCATGTCATTTTTTAAGATACCAGATATTAGGGAAAACACGCAATACTTATTTGCTTAACATGATAACCATTAATTCCATCCATTTGCCTGAAAATGATGTAATTTTATTGTTCTTTGTGGCTGAATACTTGTCTTGTGCATATATACACCACATTTTATTTATCCATTTATCCTTTACTGATTTACCCATTTACTCTTTAACCTAGGCTGGTTCCATGTCTTGGTTATTGTGAATCATGCCACAGTAAACATGTGTTTTTAGGTATCACTAGAATGCTAACTTTAATTCCTTCAGATATTGACCAGAGAATGGTGAGGCAGAGTCACATGGTAGTTCTAGTTTTAGTTTTTTTAATAACCTCCATGTTGATTTCCACAGTGGCTGTACTAATTTATACTCCCACCAACAGTGTAGAAGGCTTCCTTCTCTTGTGCTTATATCTTTACCAGCATTTGTTGTTTTTTGTGTTCTATATGATAGCTATTCCTACTGGGAGGGCAGGGGGGAAGCTCAATTAACTTTCAGTTTGCATGTCCCTAATGGCTAAAGATGTTGCATATTTTTCCATATACTTATTGGCCATTTGTACTTCTTTTGAGAAGCATCTGTTCAATTCATTTACCAATTTATTGATTAGGATATTTGATTTTTTAATGCTAAGCTTTTTTTGTTTTTTAATGTATTCTAGGTATTAGTTCTCTATTACAAGAGTAGTTGGCAAAGAATTTCTTCCGTTCTGTGGGCTGTATCTTCTCTTCCTTAGTCATTTTCTTTGCTGGACAGAAACTTTTTAGCCAGATGTGGTCTTATTTGTTTATTCTTACTGATATTTAATGTCCTAACGGAATCATGTTCAGGAGGTCTTGTCTGTGATTGTGACTTCAGGTGTTCGCACTATGTTTTCCCCTAAAAGTTTCAAAGTTTCATATCTAAGTCTTTGATTTATTCTAATTGACTTTTGTGCAGCAGAGACAAGGATCTACTTTCAGTCTTCTAAGTACAGATGTTGTCCCAGCATCAGTTGTTAAAGAGGCTGTCTTTTATCCAACATACGTTTCTGGCCCCTTTGTCAAGAATTACATGGCTATAGTTGTGTGGGTTTGTTTCTGTATCCTCTATTCTGTTCCACTGGTCTATGTGTCTGTTTTTTTGCACCAGCACTATGCTATTTTTGCTACACTAGCTTTATGGTGTGTTTTGAAATCTGGCACTGTGAAGCCTCCAACATTGCTCTTTTTGCTTAGGATTGCTTTGGCTTTTGTGTTACTATGTGAATTTCAGGATTTTTTTTTTCTATTTCTGTGAAGAATGTCATTGGAAATTGGATGGGGATTGCATGAAGTCTGCAGATCTTTTAGTAATATGTCCATTTTAACAATATTAATGCTGCTGATCCATTTTGCAGTATCTTTAATTTCTTTCTTCAGTGTTCTGAAATTTTCACTGTCAAGGCCTCTCTGCTTCCTTCACTGAGCTTGATTGCTAGGTAACTTTTTATTTTTATTAGCACATTTTTGTAGCACAGAATGGTTACATTCTTTGTGTGGGGCTGGCACATGTACACAGCACATCTTCATTACTTTTTTCAGCCCCTTTCCCTCCTCTCCTTCTCTCCTCCCTCCATCTCTTGATCCCTTTCCCCTCTGAGAAAGATCTATCTATCATCTATCTTTTGTTTTGCTCTTTATTTATAATTTGTATTTCTCACATAAGAGAAACCATGTGATATTTAAGTTTGTGTGTCTGCTTTACTTCACTTCACATTATGGTCTCAAGAGGCATCCATTTTCCTACAAATGACTTGTTTACCCTTCTTTATGGCAGAATAGTACTTCATTATGTGTAAATACCACCTTTTCTTTATCCATCTATCTGTTGATGGACATCTAGACTGCTTCCAGCATTTAGCTATTGTGAACTGTGCCACTATAAACATGGGTATGTATGTATCATTGTAATATATGCCATCAACTCTTTCAGGAAGATACTTAGAAGGGGAATAGCTGGGTCAAATGGAATTTCTATTTCTGGATTTTGAGAAACCTTTGTGCTGATTTTCATAGTGGTTGTACCAGTTAATGTTCCCACCAACAATGTAGAAGTGTTCCTTTTCCCCTACAGCCACACCAGCATTTGTTATTAGTGGATTTGTTGATGATCGTCATCCTTTCTTGGTTAAAATGGAATCTCAGTGTTGTTTTAAGTCGCATTTCTCTAATGGCCACAGATGTTGAGCATTTTTTCCTGCATTTATTGGGAATTTATATTTCTTCTGTAAAGTATCTGTTCATTTCAGTTGACCATTTTTTTAAAATTATATTGCATCTGGGGAATGAGTAACATTGCTCTGCTGTCTGAGTCGCCCACCGGGATTGTAAATTCAGCCCCAGTAAAAAAATTAGAAGAACAAAGAGAAGGCGCTTTATTTGTAAAGACAAAGAGGAAGGGGGGAGAAGATAGCTATCCTGATAAGAAAAAATAAGAGTAGAGGGCTCTGGAAAGATATGAGCCCTTTGTTCCTGGCTGCTTCTATAGGAGGGTCAGACACACACACACACACACACACGCACTGTGAACTTGCGGTAACTGGATTGGCTTCTGGGCATCTCTGCCTAACATCAACTCCTCCGGTGGGCTACATGCATCTTCTTTCTCTGTTTGTTTACCTGTCTTGACCTACTTCTTAAGGCTTTACCTTGGGTGGATGGCTAGCTGGCAAGGAGTACCTTATTCATGGTTAGCTTAGAGTTAGTAAGGGGGTGTGTGGACATCTGTGGAACTTTATGATGACCCTAGAGAGAATAATTTAGTGACTTTAGAGTGAATACATACGTATACGTATGCATATGCTAGTGTAGAGGTATGAGTACACACTTGTACACTGAATAAGAGCCTGCCCCAAAGGTAGGCGTCCCTCCTTCTCTTCGGTTTCCTCTCTATCTATTGGAGTTGAGGGTGGCTTATTGTGTGTGCACTTGACTCTCTTTGTACTCTGCCTGTCAGCTGTTTCTCTTTCTGTTCTCTTCATGCAAGTC